TTGATGGTCGAGAGTAGTTCAGAAAATTTTCACTACGTGGCGCTAGTATATACGTGCAATTTTCGTATATACAACAGCTCGAGTTCCCAACCAGATAGAAAGGTACTGACCTCGGTATAGTTGTTCATGAGGTCAAGCCTTTTTCACAGGTAGACAGTAGTTCAGAATTTTCTCACTACGCGGCGCTAGTGTACACGTGAAATTCTCATATTTAATATCTCGAGAACCTGACCAAATAAGAAGTTACTGTCTTCGGCAAAGCTGTTCAGGAGATCATAAACTTTTTGCTGGTGAACAGTAGTTCAGAATCTTCTCAATGGTAGCGCTCGTATATATGTTAAGTTTTTACATGTGATACATCCTGACCAGATAGAGAGTAAATGTCTTTGGTAAAGTTGTTCAGGATGTCAAGACAGCTCGAGATCCTGAGCAGATAGAAAGTTACTGTTTTGGGCAAACTTGTTCAGGGGGGTCAAGACTTTTTGGATGGTGGGCAGTAGCCCAGAATTGTCTCACCATGTGGTGCGTTTACTAGTGTACAATTCTCGCGTATGCTATAGCTCGAGATCCTGAACAGGAAAAAAAATTACTGTCCTTGAAAAAGTTGTTTATGAGGCCAATGCCTATTGCTTGGTGCACAAAAGTTCAGAATTTTCACACTACGTGGCGTAAGTATACAAGCGAAATTCTCGCATGTAAAATATCTCGAGATTCTGATCAGATATAAAGTTTCTGTCGTCGACAAAGTTGTTCAAGCATAACTTTTTCGCTAGGGAAAAGTAGTTCAAAATTTTCTCACAACGTAGCGCTAGTATACACTTGAAATTCTCGCATGTGGTTTGTTTCGAGATCCTGACCAGATAGAAAGTTACTGTCTTCGACAAAGTTGTTCAGGAGGCTAAAGCCTATTGCGGCGCTAGTATACACGTGAAATTTTCACATTAAAATATCACGAGATCCTGACCAAAAAGAATGTTACAGTCTTTGGTAAAGTTGTTCAAGGGGCCAAGGACTTTTGACTGGTGTACAGAAATTCACGACTGATAAAGTCCTATGGCTCGACTGGCTAACTCGTGTGTATATATTTTATACATTTTACATTACATTACACATTTTAGAAGAACCTAATAGATTCTTCTCGTTTAGATTTAGGATAAGGTGTATGTAACCATAAATTCGACTTCACACTACCAGCAGCGTAGGAATACCGGTATAATGAAAGAGATGATAATTTCATATTATCAGGCCTTTTCTTTATGACTTTGGATGTAACTAAACACTTAGATTTTATGCCGAGATGGGCATTTCCGAGCAGCATGGTATTTACATTTTGGAATAAATTCCAGATGATCATCCTGACCAATTTTTACGGGAGATTGGCACATCAAAGTTTCAATAGCATCAATTAAAAACAGGATTTTTCGGAGCATTCCAGATTCATCCAGATTTAATATTTGTACTGTTCCAGATTTTTCAGAAAATGACATGGCAACGCTGCCTGGGACTGACGGTATTCACGCAGAGCTTCTAAAGTATGGTACCGAGAAACCTGTTGATGAATTGCTGAGTATAATAAAAGAAGTTTTTAATAATAATGAGGTCCCCAAAAGTTGGACACACACGCTACAAATGCCTTTCCAAAGAAATGCAACCCAAGCTCCATCCAAGATCACAGATGTTTAACTCTGTGTGCAGTCGCTTATAAAATATACGCCAAGATCTTACTAGAAAGACTCGAACAGCAACTTCCTCCTTTCCCATTTTACCAAATGAGCGCATCGGATCTGATTTTTGCTCTCAGGAGAATTCTGGACGAACGGTGGCGGAAAGGAAAATACACCATTTTGGTATCCTTAGGCCTAAAACAGGCATTCAATCGCATCGACATCGCCAAAACTGCTGCAATCCTCTCTGCGATGGGCGTATCGAATGCACTGATTAATCGGATCTTGAAGGCATGCCAGATCGAAAGAACTTCAATACAGTGGTTCGGACAACGAACGCAGACAATTAGAAAAGATCGTGGAATAAAACAGGGATTGCCACTCAGTTCAATTCTTGTTCATTCTAATGCTGCACAACGTTTTGTCAACCCTGAAAGAGTTTATGCCAAAACTGTCTCTAGAACAAATCGAGAATATTGTAATGCCGATGCTCCTCGCATATGTGGACGACCTGCTCGTCTTATGTGACTCAGATTGCGGGGTTGCTAGTGAAATAGGATGCTTTGTTGATTGTTCATTAACTCTTGATTGCTTGTAATACTTATTAATATTTTAGGTGAAAAAAGCCGAACTAAGAGGTGGACGCCTGAGCTTTTCCACATTTATATCGCTGTGAAGCAACTGTAAACTCTAGAGAGAATTTATATCAGTAGCTGTAATCAGTTTCAGTGTTCACTCGCCTGTCGACAGAAGCAGACCACTCTCAAAGTGTGTCACGCGATCGTCTGTTTACTCGACAGCAACCATTGTGTGGTCCTCCTCATTGTTCTTCATCAGCAGTTCTTTCAGTCGATGCGTCGTCGACTTTGGAAAGCAACCGTTTCGTGATGAATGTGTGAGTACTGACGACGTTTTGCGTCCATTGCTGCAATGGAAGCGTTCTGACCCTCGTTGGCGAATCTGCCATAGAATGAAACCATTGGAAGCGGCTCCCGTTCTGGTGGAGGAGGCTTATTGGACAGCGGAAGGTAAAATGTTTATTGTTATATACCTTTTAACTATAGTTTTAAGATGTATTGTATAGTGAACAAGAATCCTCGGCTCTGTAAAGTTAATTCGGTTGAGCCTTATCAAATAAATTAATTTAAAAAAAAAACTGTAACCAGTTTGATTTTGTTCGCTAACCTGATTAATATATTTAATTATCTTAAAGATAAATCGTCCAGCTCAAACCTTTGTAGGGGTAAGAAGTAGTACGATCATCATCATGACTAATTGGTTACCCATGCTGACTTCGGTTTTGATCACCTTCCAGTAACTTTTGAAATATCTCAAGAAATAATGTCTAATCCCAACAGCTCTAGTTACAATTACCATAGAGCTTATTGGGAGCAATATCGAACATTTATGGAATATAAGTTTGATCCAAATATTCTTTTGAAAACCAAAGACGATGGTAATTATGCTTTTGAATCTCTAACTACTTCTATAGTTGAAGCAAGAGCTGCCTCTGTACCAAAATGTGAGGTTAAATTCGATTCAATTATAAAAGACGACGATCTTCAACTCTTGATCTGTCTTAAAAATGTCTATAGGAGACAATATCAAAAACACGCGATCATGCCATGAAAGTTATCTGGCGGGCTTTGCACAAACAAATTAAAAAGTAATTCTCTGTCCTGAGGAACAAAACTTTTGAAAATAATGTTTCTAAATTAGACTCGAGTTCCAAACCCTTTGGGAAACTCACAAAAATTTTGAAAAAACCTCAAAAGCCTATTCCAGCGCTTAAAAAAGGTGGTAAAATTTTGATCACAAATTTTGAAAAAGCTAAGAAACTTGCTAAGCAATTCGAGAGTTCCCATAATTTCAGTTTGGGTCTTACTAGTCCTATTGAGAATCAGGTTGCTTGGGATTATCTGAATATTTTCTCTCGGGAAAATATTTTTGATGATTCCTGGGGGACTGATTTGGACGAAGTAAGGTCTATAACTAAAAAGTTTCAAAATATGAAAGCTCCAGGTGATGATGGAATTTTCTATATCCTCATCAAAAAACTCCCAGAGAGTACCTTGTCTTTCTTGGTAAAATTATTTAACAGATGTTTCCATTTGGCATACTTTCCTGATAAATGGAAAAATGCAAAAGTTGTTCTAATTTTGAAGCCGGATAAAAATCCAGCTGAAGCTTCTAGCTACCGTCCAATAAGTTTGCTTTCTTCAATAAGTAAACTTTTTGAAAAGATAATTTTAAATAGAATGATGCTTCACATCAATACGAACTCAATTTTTGCAAATGAGCAGTTTGGATTTCGCCATGGGCATTCAACTACTCATCAACTCTTAAGAGTTAACAATTTAATTCGTTCAAACAAATCTGAAGGCCACTCAACTGGAGTTGCTCTTCTAGACATAGAAAAAGCATTCGACAGTGTTTGGCATGAAGGTTTGATTGCTAAATTGAAAAAGTTTAATTTTCCACTTTATATTATGAAATTAGTTCAAAATTATTTAACTGACAGAACTCTTCAAGTAAATTATCAAAATTCCAAATCTAATCGACTACCTGTTAGAGCAGGAGTTCCTCAGGGTAGCATTCTTGGGCCTATATTGTATAACATTTTCACTTCGGACCTCCCTGATTTGCCTCAGGGTTGCCACAAATCTTTGTTCGCTGATGACACAGGCATTTCCGCTAAAGGAAGAAGTCTTCGTGTTATTTGCCGCAGACTGCAGAAAAGTTTAGATATTTTCTCTTCTTATTTACAAAAATGGAAGATTTCTCCCAACGCTTCCAAAACTCAACTTATAATATTTCCACATAAGCCTAGAGCTTCCTTTTTGAAACCTAGTAGTAGTCACATAGTCACTATGAACGGAGTTCCAATTTCCTGGTCCAACCCAGTGAAATATCTTGGATTAGTACTTGACCAAAAATTAACTTTTAAAGATCACATTGAGGGCATTCAAGCCAAATGTAGCAAATATATAAAATGTTTGTATTCTCTTATAATCAGGAAATCCAAACTTTGCCTGAAGAATAAACTTCTAATATTCGAACAAGTTTTTAGACCGGCCATGCTTTACGCTGTGCCAATATGGTCTAGTTGTTGCACGTCCAGGAAAAAAGCACTTCAAAGGATTAAGAACAAAGTTCTGAAGATGATTTTGAAGTTCCCTCCCTGGTGATTTGTTCACTGTTCTTAATTGTTTGCGTGATTTTGGTTTGATTAACTCATTCACCTAGTTAAATCATTTGAAACCCGTACGATTCAATGTTACGCTTCACCATGGAACGACCCACCACATTATCGCACCATCGAAACACTCAACTCACCCTTCGCCCACCTTCCGATAGGAGTCCACCACCGTCTGATTGGTATCGACGTACTCCTGCCACCATTTGTTGGTCAGATCCTGAATGGCACCCGTCACTTCAACCGTGATGTTGTTCGGTTTGGACTTCCGTGCGATGTTCTGCCCGGCGTGCTGATACTGCTCCGTTCCGCGGCAGTCGTCATGGGAATACAGACAGGTGCGGGTATTGTACTCGGCCAGCTTGGCCAGCTCGTCGTTCCATTCCTGTGTTAAGGCGAAATCCGACCGAAAGAGAAACACCAATCAAGATTATGCCAAATCAAAAACCCCGACCAATCTCCATTCTGATGCTTTCCCGTACAGCTTACCAGCACAGTCATTCGTTCGGCCGACTCGAAGCCTTCCATCTTGCCACTGGCCAGCTCGCTTCTCAGGCTGTTATGCAAATCGAGAATCATGCCCCGAAGCTTATCGTCCATTGGAACCACCTCCGTGTTGGGAGGACACGCGTCTCCAAAGTCATCCGTTGCATTACACCCGATGTGTAGGTGGCCGGTTTGACACAGCACTGGATCGCAATAATCCGCCGATAAGGTCAGTCCCATCAGACAGGAAACGACCATCAACGACACGAGTCCTGCAATTACACACAGACGACACACGATCCGATAAGCCTCGGCGTTCAAGCACACTCTCTCGAAGCCACATCCACTTACTTCCTCCGCTGGCTTCCATCTCCGAACTTCCTTAGGCAAAAACTGTGACTAGAAGATTCCCGATTTCCCGAGAACCTTTTCAGTTGATTATAGTTCAGGCACTGAAATTAGTGCGTAGATTGATTTGCTTCTTATAGGGCTTCCCACGTCTGGCCCAGATTCGCAAACAGACGCAACTATGGGATTCCATTGAATGGAAATGCAGCACGGAATTGAATCCAGTTGATCTAGATAGATTCGTCGCCGTCTCGAGAACGGTTCCCAACGGTTGCCATTGCATTGATTGCCGGGGGGGGGGGGGGGTGTATGACGCATTTTAAGTGCTTTTCGACACCAGCGAGTACGATGAACACAATTAGCGATATAATATTACTTATCTGTAAGTGGCGCTGAGTTCTCACATTGTCGGGCAACTGCCTTGGGGAGGTATCAACAGGTATATGGAAACACGGGGCACTGCTAGGGAAGTTGATCCTAGGAAAGTTTTGTGTGTGAAACAAATGGGATAATTTGAAAATAATAAGGTGTAAATTAGATTAGAGATCTTATCGTTTCATGGCGGTTTATTCCAGCAAGCCGGAATTGATCGAGAAACAATGTTTTACTATCGTTACATGATATATAACCAGCAGTGGTGCAGTGGCGTGGTTTGTCTGGAATGATTCAACGTATTCAAAACCAATCAACTTAAAGTTTTCGGTGTTTGAAAAATGTTTATATTTATTAATATATCCATAAATAATCCTTTCTACCTTTTAAGTAGGTAAGAGCGGTTACACGACGTTAGGCAGACGGACGTTAGGCATAATGTACGATAGGCATAATGGACGTTAGGCATAATGTACGATAGGCATAATGGACGTTAGAAATAATCTACCCGATGAATTCCAGAAGGATGATAATGGGGACCGTCTATTGATTGCTGACATCGGTGACAATAATGAAAGAGCCTTAATTTTTGGGACTCATGCGAAGCCTTAGACAGGCAAAGTATTGGGTTGCAGATGGTACGTTTGCCACAGTTCCTTCTTTTGTTTCGGCAACTCGTCACTGTTCATGGGAGTATCGCTCCCTCACATCAGCAGACGGTTCCGCTAGTTTTCATTCTGAAGACAACAAAAACAGAATCGATGTATCGAAAAGTGTGGCTGGAAATCCTGGAAGCAGCAGGTATGTTTTTTGTTATTGAATGAAAAACCACAGAACTCACCATTCTTTATTTCATGAGCTGTTCTTTGAGTAAAACTTTTTCTTCTTTGAAAATTGCAATATGTGTAATAATATTACAACAAATGTGTGATTTTTTTTTATTTCTAGATGCGATTGATTTCAAGATATATTGAGTTTTCATTTCCAGATTACTTAACCGCGATCGCTACTAATTTTGGATCTGAGTAAATTTGTAGCTACGTTACTAATGATATGATAAACAATGGATACCAAGCTGTGCTTATTAAATAAACTATGTTTGTATAACTGGTATCATCTTTTATTCAACGCTTAGCCTAATCTAAACATTGTTTACCATGCTCGAAACAGTTTTCTTGAGTTTCACAGCAGCAAGGTATTTTATGCCTAACCTCCATTATGCCTAACGTATATCATGCCTAACGTCCATTATGCCTGATGACTTTTTTGCCTAACGTTCGTATTAGACCTGTTCATTTTAACAGAAATGTTCGGGATGCACCGGGTCAACAGTGATTACTGTTCGTCATGTTAATTTGAACTTCTGTGCAAATTTTCAGCAAAATCGGTGATGATTTAGAGGTGCTTCAAGTTCAAACATGGTTTTCGTATAGATTCCATAGATTGAGATATAAAAATCAGAAAAGAGGCCGGTATAACTAAAATTCACAAGACAATTAGATTGACAGAACATAGTTACATTACCTTTTATTTTTTTTAAATATGATTCCTCAGTAGACGTGTTTTTTTTATCAAAGGCAAGTGTCACTCGAGCCATCGCTAGCTCGAGCCACAAAACATAAACACGATTGTTAATAGAGAAATACCAAGGGGTTGGTCACTCTGCACAGTGTGGCAAAAATACAGACGGGCACACCTGAGCACTTTTATTGGCACCCATGGTTAGACATTTTAATGATATTTAAATCTTCTGGCAACACTGTACTATATGTGCGCCTGCTCTGTGCATGTGTTAAAATGATAATCATTGTTGTTGACACAATCCGATATTTGTTTTCATAACTTCAACCGTGAATTTCCTCACAGCGGACATATTGTCAAAACATTAGGATGAGCGAGGTCATCAAGGCGATGACCGTGCCCAAGTACAACAGTAATTTGGGGGTCTTACTGGAATTCTTCCGGATGGTGCTTGTTTTGCTACCGGAAGACTTTGAGATCGGAGAGCCTCCACTCAAGACGATCGAACTGTTCGAGGATCTGGTGTGGAAGACTTTGGTGTTTCAGAACAGTTTGAACGAAGTTGGGAAAGGGGTGGCATAGTTCCGGAAGCTGATTGAAAAGATGACCATGAAGGGACTGCTACTGGTTATAATGCCGATTCGGAATGTGATTTATTGAGTTGATTAGTGGAGAGAGCAAAACCCTGAAGGAGGAGGTGAAAGGTTCGTTGAAGATGTTGGTAAATCGATTTGTGGTGGAGAGATTCGTTGCGGAACTGAAATTACAGCCGAAGGAGGTTAAGTGGAATTGTAAAATGTTGATTGGTTGTTTGAAACTCCCTTGATGCTCATGGTACTTGTGATCTTCCCTGAACTTCTTTGGACTCACTTACCTTAAATATGGATGTTAAAGACTTTTAATATTTTGATTTAAAATAACATACGAACAGTAGCAAAATTACCCGATGAAACCTCTAATTGTAACAGCCCAAAATATCTCTTAGCTTCCTTGAGATTTCCACAAGTTTTGTGAAGTTTTTAAAAGTTAATTGAAGCTCACGGAACTTTGCCAAAAATTTTCTATATTCTCCATGAACTTCTTTGGACTTCTCTGAGATTTTAAATATTTTCTGATGTTCACTAAATTTTCTAATGTTCCGGAAATATTTATCATTTTCATAAAATTCCCAAAAGATCCCTCATTGCACACTGGGGACAAAATCGAAACAATGTGTTAAAATTCAATAACTTCGATGCTCGCTAGAACAAGAGACTAAAAAATAGTCATTCTTATAGAAAAAAGTCTCAGAAATTGATTGGAGTGGGTTTCATCTTGGGCACGATAGGGTAAGTTGGGGTTTTTCACAGTTTTGCCCTAAAATCTCCTATTTTGCATGATTTGAATGCTGTATCTCAAGATACCGATGATATAGATGGATGATTTCTTGGGCAAAGTTGATCAGGAGGTCAAGGACTATTGGATGATGGACAGAACAATTTGGAATTCCTCCGCTAGGTGGCGCTAGTGAGCATTCGAAGTGAATATGTTTGCGCTGCTGTATCTCAAGATCCTGACTATTTAGACGGATGATTTCTTCGGCAAAGTTGATCAGGGGGTTGATCAGGATCGTTGGATGATGGACATAGCAATTCAGAATTCCTCCACTAGGTGGCGCTAGTGATTATTGAAAGTGAATATATTTGTGCTGCTGTATCTCAAGATCCTGACTATTTAGACGGATGATTTCTTCGGCAAAGTTGATCAGGGGGTCAAGGACTGTTGGATGATGGACAGACCAATTCGGAATTCCTCCGCTAGTTAGTGCTATCTACGATCTTTTCTGGCTATTACGTCCCAACTGTAACTTAACGCCTGCTCTCAACTTAGTGCTCTAGATGCACTTCCACAGTTGTTAATTGAAAGCTTTCCAAGCCTGTTCGATTTATACATGTGTATATTGTGTGGCAAGTACAATAATATACTATGCTCAGGGAAGTCGAGAAATTTTCCAATCTGAAATCCTAGACCAACCGGGATTCCAACCCAGCCACCTCTAGAATGGTTTGCTTTATAGTCGCAGGCTCTACCGACCAAGCTTATGGAGGCCCTCTGATCTATGAATGTAATCAAACTAAAATGCGAGATGGTAGCCTAATTAACAAGTTTTGAGGACAATTTGGTGAACCTAGAACGTCTTAAACATATCGAATTCAAACGTAAATAATGTGCATGATATGTTTATCCTTGTTTGGAGATGTTTTAATACAAAGGGCTTTGAATCAGTGAACCTGGATGAAAATTTGATCTGAACTCAAGGACAATTTGGAGAACCATGAGTATCTTATACACCTCAAAATCAACTATAAACGAACAGCAGAAACTGTATAAACGTGTTTCGGAAAGTTTTGTCGGTGAGATCATGTGCAGATTTTAGTTGATCCAGTAGATCAAATAATCTGACCTCTAGAACAATTTGAAGAACCTAGAACTTCAAATACACCTTAAATTGATGTTGTTTGGAGATGTTTAGTTGCTAAGGACCTTGTATCAGTTATGGTTGATCAGGTAAATCATTTGATCTGAGCTCAAGACAATTTGGAGAACCTTGATTATAAATCAAAATAAATCAAAAACGATCCTGTAGAAACTTTATGAACATGTCTTTGTAGGTTTTGTCGCTGAGGACATCGTGCAGTTCATGGTTGAGCCAGTAGATCAAATAATATGAACTCCAAAGTAGCTTGGAGAACCTAGAACATCTCATACACCATCAATTACAACGAAAATTATGTGCATTATAGTCATGGACCTGGGTGCATAAACTTGCAATAATTATAAAAATTTGCCAAAAAAATTTTCATTCTGTTAATAAATGTCAAAATTAAGCGGAAAATATGAACCTCACTGTTTAAAACTTCTTTTGAATTTTCAACATTCTTATATTGTGGACGTCACTTATCCGTAGAAACAGTGAAAACATATTACTCTTTCTCCGAAAATGTATGGTTACGTCACTTTGTCTCCAGGCTTCCACAACACATTTTAATCACGAAGAGGGTGTTTTCTGGTGTATCTTAGGGTATAGATTATGAATATGAAGAAAAGTGAAAATTGACCATGGTGGCGTTTACGTCACTTTGTCATCTCACGGCAGAAAGGGCCTTGTACCGGTTATGACTGCCTGGTACATTATTTGA